AAACACGCTCGGTTGCGCAGCAAGAGCGAAGCAAACTGATTCCCTCAAAACTCTGGCTGCCACGTGGACCTGGAGCCCCACGGCCACATCGCTGGGCGCGATATCTAAACCCAAAGCACGCCCCAGGACCAGATCCCGACGGCGACCTCTAAACACAAAAAAAAAAAAACATTCACACCCCATGCAAACTTAAAGCTCCGTTGATCCGATCAGCTGATGAAATGCGCCGCTGCGCGCCGCTCGTTCACCCCTGAAGCGCCGTAAGATAACTAACTGGATTGCCGAGCTGCCCGCCGAAGCAGCGCCCCATGCGCCGGCCGCGTCCCGGGCCCAAGCTCTGACTGCCTGTTTTGAGTCAGACCCACAAAGATAGCCACCTGGACTGCCGAGCTGCCCGTCGAGGCGGCGCTCCATGCGCCAGCCACTTCCTGGGCCCCACCAGCTCGATCGCCCGGCCTGAGTCTCGACCCAGAAAGATAGCCACCTGCATTGCCGAGCTGCCCGCCGGGGCGGCGCCCTTGCGCCGGCCACTTCCTGGGCCCCACCAGCTCGATCGCCCGGTCTGAATCGGACCCAGAAAGATAGCTATACCTGGATGGCCGAGCTGCCCGCCGAAGCGGCGCCCCACGCGCGGGCCACTTGCGGGGCCCGACCAGCTCGATCGCCCGACCCGAGTCGGCCCGGAAGCACACCGCCCAGGCGAAAAATACAATCCCGCGGACAGAGCCTCCATCTTCGACCTGGAGAGTGACCAGGACAGCGAGGGCACGTCGGGCCATCGAGCCCCCTGCTCAACATTCGCATGAAAGTCGGTCCCCGCCCGTTGACCAAGCGGCGGCAGCCGCACTGAGAATCATCCCACGACGGCCTGTCCACCATTTCGGATTTGTCGGGGTGCCGAGATCACGGATCGGAGCCATTCCGCGCTAACAGGGGACCCGCGGTCGCGCTCGGCCCTGCTCTGGGCCCTGAGCCACAAGGCTCGGTCGATGGGAAACGACCGCTGCGGTCTGCCCGCATGGCGCGACTGGCATTGGCCATCGCAGCAACCCTCTGGGCGGAGTCTAAAGCCATACCCCCACCCTGGCCCGAACCTCCTGCGCGAACGCAGTCCCATCCTCAACTGGCGGCGCCGCCCGCAAGCCCCAGACAAATCCTGGCCGGCAACGCGCTCTGACATTCGTCGAGCGTTGACCGCGCTACTGAACGTCGGGCCCTGACTGACATGCGCCTGGCTGCGGCCTCAAAGTCGACGATGGTCTGGTCCGAGGTGCGCTCGAGGGCCCTTGGGCCCCCAAGCGAATACGCGGGTCGCCTGAATGCGCAGCGGTTAAAAATGAAGAAAGAACAAATGCCCCCGCGCCCCGAACACGCTCGAATAATCTCTGCGAGCGGCGAAACGAATCGAACCGTCGCCACGGGAGCTGAGCAGATCCGACGCGGAAAACTCGCGGTCGCCCACCCGCGAGCCAGAGGAACCATAGCAGGAACAACGCGTGCCCCGCGGGCCTCAAATCTTGTCTAGAGTTTCCCACACTGGACCCGACCCCAAATGGATCTCTGGCGCAGCACCGAACAATCAAACCTCACAGCCCGACTCGTAAAAAAGGAATGGCGACCTGCTCGGCCGGCGACGCGTCAAATTTCAAAACGCACGGACCCTTCGCGTGCGATGACATGCCCCCTCCCGGCCATGGGCCCCCGAGGCCCCCCGCAATGCGCCCTGCCAGCGCGCTCGCACGGCGAAGACCACGCGGCCTTCGCCTCGAGACTTGCCGCCAGCATCTGGCTCCCCACTCGCGCTGACCATTGCGTCCCCAAGCGCCCCCCAGCCCGGGGCTTCCCGGGGCTTCCTGGGATCTTCTGATTTTGCCTGGTGCCCCCCGCGCCAGGGTTCCTGGAATCGGGCTCGGCTATCTTCTGCCTGGCCGCCGATATTGGCAAGCGTTCCCTAATCTGGCGCATCGCGGGATCGGCCGCATCTGGCCGCAGGGCCAGGCAAGCCACCTGCGATGGAAATCAGCGGCACCGACCCGGAAGATGGCCTGCGACCCCAACTCACCAATGCCGGAAATCGGCTGCGCTGATCCACCCACGCCGGAAAGATGCAGCGCTGACCCTCCCACGCCGCCGCAGCCCGCCCACGGCGGCGGCGGGCCGCTCAGACCCACCCGCGCCGAAAAGCTCGCGCTGGAAATAAGCTGCCATGCACCGCCACGCTGGAAATGCACTAGTCCGAACCTCCTGAACCGGGGACGCACAACTCCTCCAGGTCACCATCCACGCTGCCGACATCGAAACTCTGGCCCCCCCCCCCCCCCCCCCCCCCCTGGGCGCCACAGTCCTTAGCCCGCGCGGCGGAGGCGCCTTGCAACTGATCCCAAGTATTTTCCTCAACGGCCGGCCCTGGCCCTGGGTCGGCCCCTCAACGACCGGCTCTGCGGCAGGCACCTCATGCGGCCACTTCTTGGCATCCATCTCCCACGGCGTCTCTTCTCGCCGGGTCGCGGCGCCTCGCTGCCCTTGGTGGGCGGGCAAACTTCTCGGCCAACGGCGGCGCCCAGCGCGTCGAATTCCCCGGCTTCAACTGCACCTTGACCGCGAGGCCAAGATATGACAGCCACCTTTAAAACACACCCGAATCGTCGAGAGTGGAATCCACAAAAACCGAATCATGGAAGCGAGGCACCATAATTGTTTTCTTGCCCGCCGTACAAATTTCGTCTGCCCGCATCTGCTGCCCTGGCCATGCCATCATCTACTAGGGGCGCCATCCAGTTTTGAACAGCCCTTGAGGTTCCGCGCTGAACACACAGACGACCAACCAAGGAGTACGCGGTGACCGGACTAGCCGGCCAAACTGTATCACCTTGTCTGTCTTGGCGCCCTTCAACCCTGACGACTGTGTCAAGTAGATACCTATGATGATGATCGCCTGGCCAACGATCTGGTCCTGCCCTTAACATGGATACCCTGGACCCACGCGACGTTGCCCTTTGTGGCTCGGAGGGGAATCAGCTGATGAGGATGGCTCGCTAAGTGACTGGAGAACTGGAACACGCATCCTGTTTTTTTTTCCGAGATGCCCCTGGCCTTCTATGAGGGTGGTCATGCGTAGTTACACCGTGATACCTAGCTCGGCGACACTCGTGCAGAGCTTCCTAGAAGTACTCCCGCAAGAGGTGCAGTTCTAAATCACAGCAGTTTATCGCGCGAACGTTGCCTGCACGCCTTCAGCCCCATCCTCGGGACCCCTGCGCCGCTTCCTGACCCATCTCCGAAAACGAACCCACCATGGCCTCCAACTCTCGAGGCGGGTTTGCTGGGAGCCCTGCCCTCCGCCCCTGCCTGCCACGAGAGTCGGCTCGGGTGGGGGCTGGGCCTGGCCAGGCTTCGCTCCCACCTGGCGCTGGGACCCCGCCTCCTTTACGAGCTGAAGCCTTCTCAGGGACAGCACCCTCTGGCGACATGCGTTTCTTACTGGCCCTCTCGACGACGTCGGCGAGTTGGGCCTTGTGCTCGGCCTTTGCCCGGACAGTGCCGCAGCACGCCGTGGCCGCATCCTCGAGCGCCTGCTGCAACGCGGTCTTAGCCTTCAAGAGCAGCCGGCGGCCCTCCTGGATGTCGCGGCCATGAAGTTGCGACCCAAAGCTGGTCCCCAGCTCGAAATGACCATCGCGCACGTGCTGAGCGTCGCCTGTGGCTGCTGCGTTATCCTCGCGCAGGGCTTCCACAGGGGGGTGTTCTTTGGCTGCTGCGCCTTAGGCCTCCTCACAAGCTGTTCGAAGATCGCTCTCTGCCTGCTCCTGTTCCTTCCTCGCCCTGGCCCACGCAGCTTTGACACGCTCCTGGTGTTCTTTGCGCGATGTACGATGGCCGCCGCTTGCTGCAACACTTGGTCTGGCTGTGATGGCTTTGGCATTGGCTCGTCCAACAACTGCAAGAGTCCCATGGCTGCACTCGGGATGTTCCTACTCGCTGACTGGCAAGCTTCCTGAACTGCTCCTCTGGTGGCAGTCCGTTGGGTACCTGCTACGCGTCACTACCACAGTGCATCGGAGACACCACAGCGTCAGGAGAGAAAGGGAGCCCACATTCGCACGTCGAGTTGTTAGCTGTGAGACGATCCTGGAAGAGCGTGTTCCCACAAGCACTGCATTCGACCAGGACCATGGGCATTCCACGACGATTGCCACACCATCCTAACTCACCCGCGCGCTGCTGCGGGTTTCCTGGCTGTCCTCTCGGCCAGGGTGGGTAGTCCTCGAACCACAAACTCTTCTCTCCACCTTGCCATTTGCCGTCCCCGTGGCCTCCGCAGCAGACCCAAGACTGACGAGAGAATCTAATTGCGCCACGGCGCATGACGCTGCACAACCATCGGCAACATGTGAGTACGCAAAGGCGTCGGGGATGAAACACGTGGACACGAATGAGACTGGTGGGCCGGGTGCGTCACTTGACTCCTCCGCCCCCCCCCCCGAAATACTCAAAGTCCGACGCTGACACCTAGAGCCGCGCAACGGACGTGAGCCAACATGGCTATGGCAGGAGAAGGAGGAAAATAGAGGAGGAAGATGGAGGAGGAGGAGGAGGAGGAGAAGAGCGGAGGAGGTATAGCGGCGGGGGCGAGGCGAGATGAGAACCAAGGGAAGGCCGTTAGGCTTTGGTGTGGAAGACTGCCTCCCTGGAGGCCAAGGAGGGGGAGGATGAATGAGAGACGGCGACAACGGCGGCGACGTCGACGACCACGAGAAGCCTCCACACCATACAAAGTAGTGAAAGGGAAAGGCTAGCCAAGTTCTCGCTATCGCTCGGACGTCCATTCCCTGTGTGTTTTTTTCGGTTTCGTGCGTGGTTTTTCCACCAAATGATCAAGGATGCTCCTCGATGGTCCTCGCCGAGGGAAAAATGCACACGTCCGAGCGATGCCAGGTACAAAGCAGTGAGAGGGAAAGGCTGGCCAAGCTGAAGAGCGGGAGGGGGCCGCGGCGGCGCGCCAGATCCCGCTCGAAGGCGTCGAACACGTTGTCGGCCCTCTGCAGTCTGCAGCACGGGCACACCACTGCCTGCAGAGGCCAGGAGCGCGGATGGCGCACGAACGTATACATGTCCACACGTGCACACGCATATCGGGTCGGGCGAAAGGGGGGGGGGGGGGCTAGCAAAGGGGGGGGTTGAGAATCCGGTTGTCGGGCTGATTTTCCCGGCGCCTCCCAGCGCCAGGAGGCGGCCATGTATCGAGGAATGGGCCCCTCGGTGGGGCCGAAACCAGCTGCATGCAGCAGATTTCGTACCCCCCCCTTTCCCAATCCCCCCCTTTCGTCCGGCCCGAGCATAGACACACTCACACATCTGCTGGTCCCCATTGAGTACACAAGGCTGCTACGTTCCCTGCTGGACCGCTGGACCGCTTTCGTTGACGTGTCTATGTGTCTATGTCTTTGCCCTCTCGTCTTGTATCTCTGGTCCTGTCTCCGAATATGCGGGGGCGGCAAACCAAAGAGGAGCAACGAAAACTTGAGGACATGCCTCAGCCGCATGGCCGCTCTTGGTTGACCCAGGCTTTCCAAAAAGCGCCGCCACGAGACGGCCAGGAGGGTCCAAGAGGCCTCCGGGACGCCCCGAAGGAGGCCACGAGAAGGGCCCCAAAGCCCAAGACGGCCAAAGGTGGCCCTCAAATTTCTCTAAGATGGCCTCGGAAAAACCCAAGACGTGCCCCTGAGAGGGCAAGCGGTGTTTGATGTTTTTGCCTCTCCAATATGTTGCTCCTGAGATGCCCCAAGATCGCTTCAAGAGGGTCCCCCAGGCCCACGAGCTGCCCGAAGACGGCTCCATTATATGGCCGCAGAAGCCGCAGCATGCTGACCGGGTCGTCCAGGCTCGCGAAACAAGGCCCCAGGATGGTCCCATCATGAAACTCGAAAGGACACACTAGAAGTACGCGACCCCCTTGGATAGATGCCTACTAGATGGGGTCGGAGTAGATGGGGTTGGAGGATCGCGCCGCATCGCCGATACATCGGCGATACATCGCCGATGCATCGGCGATACACCAGCGATGCATCGTCGACGTCGGCGATGCATCCGCGACGTCGACGTGAAGCAAATCGGGCTCCACATCGAGCCGCATCGCCGATGCATCGGCGATGCGGCGCGATCCTCCGACCCCATCTACTCCGACCCCATCTAGGAGGCCTAGATGGGAGGCGAACGTGCGGCCCCAACATATAGCACCAACGTATCATAGTAAGCGCCACCCTGGCGGTGCGGCCAGAAAGAGCCCACCACCGAGCGTCGACGAGAAGATTTTCCGAGCGCAGGCGACGCCCCTGCGGGGGCCGACGTACACATAGCCTACACGCCTCTTCGGGCGGTGCCCCAAAAAGCTGAGCCGAAAGGGCTGCAAGACGACTCCAACCAGTACGGCCCAAGGGTGACACCAGAGCCCGTCGTGATGATCAGCAGCATCAGCATCGTCATCGTCATCGTCCTCATCATCATCATCATCATCATCATCATCATCATCATCATCATCATCATCATCATCAGCATCATCGTATTCATCATCATCATCATCATCATCATCATCATCAGCATCAGCATCAGCATCTTCATAATCAGCAGCATCAGCATCGTCATCGTCATCGTCATCATCATCATCATCAGAATCAGAATCTTCGTATTCATCATCATCATCATCATCATCAGCAGCATCATCATCATCATCATCATCATCATCATAATCAGCACCATCACCATCAACATCATCATCATCATCATCATCATCATCATCATCCCCATCATCCGCATCACCAGCACCACATCATCAGCACAACCTTCACCACCACCATCGTCATCACCACCACCACCATCATAATCAGAGTCATCCTCATCATCATCATCATCATCATCATTATCATCATCACCATCATCATCATCATCATCATCATCATCATCATCGTCATCATCGTCATCAGCATCATCAGCACCAGCAACATCAGCATCAGTATCAGCATCATCATCATACTCAGACATCATGATCATGATCAGCACCATCATCATCACCACCACCATCATCATCAGCAGCAGCATCATCAGCAGCAGCATCAGCGTCATAATCGTAATCACAATAATCATTAGCATCAACATCATGTTCATCACCATCATCGTCATCGTTATCAGCATCGTCATCGTCATCGTCATCGTCATCATCGTCATCGGCATCATCATCGTTATCGTCAGCAGCAACATCAGAAGCACCATAATCCTCATAATCCTCACCATGAACATCATCATCCGCATCATCATCAGCAGCAGCATCACCGTTGTCGTCATCATCTTCATCATCCTCATCCTCCTCATCAGCAGCAGCAGAATCACTATCATCCTCATCAACAGCATCCTCATCATGCTCACCATCAACATCCTTATAAACACCAGCATCGTCACCACCATCATCAGCATCATCATCATCATCAGCAATAGCATCAGCATCGTCATCATCATCATCATCATCACCATCATCCGCATCACCAGAACCATCATCAGCACCACCTTAACCACCACCATCGTCATCACCACCATCACCGACATTATCAGCATCATCATCATCATCGTCACCATCATCATCGTCATCATCGTCATCAGCATCATCAGCAACAGCAGCATCAACATCAGCATCAGCATCAGCATCATCATCAGCAGCATCATCATCATACTCAGACATCATGATCATGATCAGCATCATCATCATCACCATCATCATCAGCAGCATCATCATCAGCAGCATCACCAGCGTGATAATCTTAATCATAATAATTATCAGCATCAGCATCAGAATCAACATCATCTTCATCACCATCATCGTCGTCATCATCGTCATCAGCATCATCAGCAACAGCAGCATCAGCATCAGCATCAGCATCAGCATCATCATCAGCAGCATCATCATCATACTCAGACATCATGATCATGATCAGCACCATCATCATCACCATCATCGTCAGCAGCATCATCATCAGCAGCATCACCAGCGTCATAATCGTAATCATAATAATCATCAGCATCAGCATCAGCATCAACATCATCGTCATCACCATCATCGCCATCGTTATCGTCATCGTCATCGTCATCGGCATCATCGTGATCGCAGGCAGCAACATCATAAGCACCATAATCCTCATAATCCTCACCATGAACATCATCATCCGCATCATCATCAGCAGCAGCAGCACCGTTGTCGTCATCATCTTCATCATCCTCATCCTCCTCATCAGCAGCAGCATAATCACTATCATCCTCATCCTCAGCATCCTCATCATGCTCACCATCACCATCATCATAAACACCAGCATCGTCACCACCATCATCATCAGCATCAGCATCAGCATCATCATCGTCGTCGTCATCATCATCATCATGAGCAGCAGCATCAACAGCATCATCATAAGCATCAGCATCATTATCATCATCAGCATCATCAGCATCCTCATCATCCTCATCGTCATCGTCATCATTTGCAGCAGCATCATCGTTGCCCTCATGATCAACATCGACATCAACACCATCATCACCATCACCGTCATCGCAATTGCCATCCGCCGCCATCGCTGCCATCGCCGGCGTCCTCAGCCTCACGGCGCAGGCCGGCGGGGCCCCGAGCCCCCGGGGCGGACGAGCGAGCGCGGAGGGCCGGCGGCGCGGCGCGCCAGCCACACGACGAAGGCAACGGTGCGGAGCCAGATCTGCGCCGCGATGACCTCGGGCGCAGAGAGGGTGCAGCTCGGGTCGGACCTGGGCCGAGGCTCGCGCTTCGAGGTCCCCGAGACGCTTTCTTCTAGCCTGTGGCCTCTGAGGGGGCCACTTCCGGGCCCCCGGGGACCCCCGAAGCTCGATCTGGGGTGCAGAGCTGCGTCGGATGGGTCCGGGGAGGGGTGCGGGGACGGGTTTTGACCGATATTCGGCGGCGAGCGAGGGGGGGAAGTGCGAAGGAGAAGGCCTTCTCTGAAGGCGGGCGGGGCTTCTCAGACGCCCTCGCGCCTTCTGAGAGAGGTCGCTGGCGGTTTCGGAGAAGGCTTAGGAACAACTTCTCAGAAGGTCGGAGGAGGAAGAGGAGGAGGAGGAGGAGAAGGAGGAGGAGAAGGAGGAGGAGGAGAAGGAGGAGGAGGAGGAGGAGGGAGGAGGAGGACGAGGAGGAAGAGGTGGAGCGAGGAGGAGGAGGAGGAGGAGGAGGAGGGATCTCCGAGCCTCCCGACAAGGCCCGCACCTTCTCGTTTCCGCCCCTCGCTCGCCGCCACCTGGGACAGAAAAAGAGACCACTCAAGACACCCCGAGCCATACGACACTCGAGGCCACCCTCCTCGAGGATGCACCAGAGAGCCTCCCATAAGCACGAAGAACAGTACAGCGGAGGCCAGTCCACAAGAAACCTTCAACAAGAAACCCAACCCTGAGACCCCAGGGCGTCCATGGATTTTCGGTGTGGGAACGTCCCGCTTTCCATAGCAAAACCGTCGAAACCCAAGAAACCCAGGGCATCCTGGAGGCAAGCAGGGTGTCTTTCGGCATTGGCCTCCACTGCAGGGTACCCTCCCCGAGCCGACCTTGATCTCATGCCTCGGTCCGACCGCATCTGACATGTTCCGCCAGGCCCGGGTCCCCGTCTCAGGGGCATCGTTCGGGGGGCTGGGAACTGGGGCGGAATCGGCGCAGAGCGAGGAGGGGAAACGAGAAGGAGGAGGCCTTCTCAGAAGGCGGCGGGGCGTCGCGCCTTCTGAGAAGTTGCTTGTCTTCGGGGAACGCGATCGCCTTCGGCACCGCCTGATTCCTGGGCTTTGCCCTCTCTTGGCCTTGACGTGAGGCCCCTCCTTCTGCCTTCCCCCCTCTGTCAATTAAAGCTGTGCGCGGCCCGCTTAGCCTCGACCGGAAGAGGCTCGCTCTCGACCCGCGGATCAAAAAGTCTTCGGGGAATGCTTATGGAAAATTTCTCGGAAGGCCAGGGGACTGTCGAGCCCTCGGAGAAGGCCTTCTCCTTCTCTCAGGAGCGAAAGAAGGACGTACATGTACATGAATCCACGCTGGTTTCGAGAGTACGCATTGCGCAGATGTTCGTATAACGCGGCCGGTCTCGTGGAGCGAGGGGCCGTGCTCATGTACATAGCTGGGCGCGAACGTCCTTTGTGGGCTCCCTATTCTCACTTCCCCCCTTCGCTCGCCGCCGAGGGACGGCACCGGCCCCCGATCGCCCGCTCCTCGCCGCCATGGGGCCGCATGGCCGTGCGGCTTTTTGCGCTCCCCCGGGGGGGGGGAGCGCTGCGTCATGGGAGGGAGGAGGAGGGGGGAGGCTAAGGGGGCATACCGCGCGGTATGGCCAAGAGGTCAACCAAAAGCACTCTCCTCTTCCGACAGCCACAGCCCCGGGGCCCGTGGAGGGCCCCGATGGGGCCCGAGAACCGGCCACCCGTGGCGGGCCCCCGCAGGCCCGAAGGAGCCCGTGGAGGGCCCCGAGAGCCCGAGAGCCCGCAGGGCCCTCTCCCTGCAGGACCCTCTTCCTTCCCTCGGGCTTCGGGCCAGGCGAACCCCGACCTTCCAGAGTGCTAAAAAAATAGCACTCCAGACCTATAGATCTATCTGGACTGCCTCAAACCTCGACAGGAATTCGGACGTCGACGTCCTGGTGCTATTTGTTATAGCCCTCCTGGAAGGTCAGGGAAATAGGAGGGGATAACAACGGGGGGGGCGGTGAGAATCAGCTCACGAGTGGCTGATTTTCCTGGCGCCTCCCGGCGCCGCAGGCGGCCATGCATCGAGGCATGGGCCCGGGCGGCGGGGCCGAAACCGGCTGCACGCAGCAGATTTCGTCCCCCCCCCCCCCCCTTTCCCTGACCTTCCAGGAGGGCCAAAAAATAGCACCAGGACGTCGACGTCCTAATTCCTGTCGAGGTTCGAGGCAGTCCAGATAGCTCGATAGGTCTGGAGTGCTATTTTTTTAACACTCTGGAAGGTCGGGGTTCCCCATCCCCCCCTCTCGCCCTTGCCCGACCCTCCTCCCTGGCGACCGTTCCTGGGTGACCACCCGACGCAGCGGCGCTGGGCGTGCCCGGCCCCGGGGTGGACCACGCCGCGCCTCGGGCAGGGCGCGAGGCACGCCACACGCAGCAAAGGAACGGGCCTCTGAGCGGAGAGCTCCCCTGACCTTCCAGGAGGGCTAAAAAAATAGCACCAGGGCATCGACGTCCTAACTCCTGTCGAGGTTTGAGGCAGTCCAGCTAGGTTTATAGGTCTGGAGTGCTGATTTCTAGCACTCTGGAAGGTCGGGGTCCTGGGACCCCGGCACGCGGGCGGCGGGGGCGCCCGGGCAACAGACCACAGGGCGGCCGCCCGCTGCGACAGCCCGGCCGAACATCGACCGGAGCCGACCGAGCCCGGAGGCGGCCCGGAGGGGCGCAGCGGCGCCGCAACCGACTGGAAGCGGAGTGTCTGGAGGGGAGCGTCACGGGGGGCTGGCTCAAGCGGGGGCGGGTTGGGGTGGACGAGGAGGAGGAGGAGGAGGAGGAGGAGGAGGAGGAGGAGGAGGAGGAGGAGGAGGAGGAGGAGGAGGAGGAGGAGGAGGGAGGAGGAGGAGGAGAGGAGGAGGAGGAGGAGGAGGAGGAGGAGGAGAGGAGGAGGAGGAGGAGGAGGAGAAGCAGGAGGAGGAGGAGGGCCCGTTGGAGTGGGCGATCCATCGCGGAGAGCAGATCGGCGAGGGGGCCCCGATGGCGAGCCCGCACGCCAAGCGGCGGGGAAGCACGGGCCACGGCGCCTCCGCGGCCCCCGCGGACACCCCGCGGGGCGAGGAGGAGCGCGCCGAGGCGGACCCCGCCGTGGCCTCGAGGCTTCCCAGGAGCCCACACGCGAACCCCGAGGCCTCGACCCTGAGGCCTCGAACCTCGAGCTCTCGGGCCTCGAACGAGCCTCCGTCCTCGCGTCCCCCGAGGCCTCGATCCCGAGGCCTCGAACCTCGAGCTGTCGAGCCTCGAGCGAGCATCCGTCCTCGCGTCCGTCGGCTTAGGTCGGGCGTATCATCCTACAGGCGGACTCTGGAAGAAACATTTAAAACACAAATCAAGCAATACTCCAAAATAAATCGCCAGGCTACGTTTGAACATTCCGCCTGCAGAGGGACATGCACGACTTACACGTCGGTCGGAAGAAGTAGGTAAAAACATGGAGTAGGAAGGCGGATTAAGTTGAGTGGGTCCAGGTCCCCCCCAGAGAATAACAAAACACAGCAAAAGCATGCCGACTCTTGAGGTAGGAAGGCGCTTGAAGTAGATTGGGATCTGGGAATTCAAAACTACCTACTTTCAACGACCGGCGGTCTCCGTGCCGCTCGGGCCCCGCCCGAGGAGGAGCAGGAGGAGGGGGAGGCGGAGGAGGAGGAGGAGGAGGAGGAGCAGGAGGAGGAAGAGCAGGAGGAGGAGGAGGGAAGAGGTCGAAGAGGAAGAGGAGGAGCGGGAGGAGGAGGACGAGGAGGAGGAGGAGGAGGAGGAGGAGGAGCGGGAGAAGGAGGACGACGAGGAGGAGGAGGCGAAGGAGGAGGAGGAACAGGAGGAGGAGGCCTCCTCCTGGAGGAGGAGGAGGAGGAAGAGGTCGAAGAGGAAGAGGAGGAGCGGGGGAGGACGACGAGGAGGAGGAGGAGGAGGAGGAGGAGAGGAGGAGGAAGGAGCGGGAGAAGGAGGACGACGAGGAGGAGGACGCGAAGGAGGAGGAGGAGGAGGAAAGGAGGAGGAGGGAGGAGAGGCCCTCCTCCTCCTCCTCCTACCTCCTCCTCCTCCTCCTCCTCCTCCTCCTCCTCCTCCTCCTCCTGGGCCCCCTGGCCCTGGGAGCCCCTCGAGGGCCGGCGGGTGCCCCCCGGCCGGCGCGCGCGTGGCGCGCCGCGCGCGGGCGGCAGCTCTGAGGGCCCCCGCCGACGCCGCGTACGGGACGAGGCAGAGGGCGCCGAGGAACTTCAGCGGGCCCTGCACGAAGGCCTCCCGCGCCGCCGAGAGACCGGATTCGGCGTTGGACAAACCTCCCTTCAGTAAACCACCCTTCAGTGAAAACGGCCTGGGACCGAAACCGACGGAGCTGGACCCGAAAGAATGACGGCCGCGACGCCCTCTCGGGAACTGAAAACGGCCAACTCCTGAATCGACGTGTCAGGGTGGGGGTTTTGTCCACCACCGACAGATGTCTCCGCCGTCCCCCCCCCCACCAAAAAAGAACAAAATGGGGGGCCCGGGCCCGTGCGGTGGCAGACCCAGGTCCTGGAGCCGTCCGGTCACCCCGGATGGCCACCGACGCACCACGCGGTGCAGCTGGTCAGCAAGGAGATCCCCGGGAACGCCGCACAAAGAAGGAACTGTCTCAAACCCTTCTGTGGAATCCTTGATCCCGCCAGCCGACCTACCACCCGAGGTGGGAATGTGTGCTGTCTCCTCCGCGTTTCGCGGCGCCCATCCCCAACTAGGGGCACGCTGGGAGGGACAACTGACCCTGTCCTGGCTGGAGTGGCGATGGCTCTGACGATGATGAGGAAGCCTCCTGCGGTGTTGGGCTCTCGCTTTGAGATCTCTAGCGCAGCACCCCCGCCGCTCAACTTCCACATCCTCCACCTTCCCGTTGCCGCCTCTTGGTATTAGAGGGGGCCACTTGCGAACCCTACCCCTACCCCTCACGATTTCTGGGGGGGAGGGTGGGGTTCGCTTCGCTCGGGAGCTTCTGAACTAAAGGAACCCCACCCTCCCCCTTAGAAATCGTGGGGGGTAGGGGTAGGGTTCGCAAGTGGCCTCGGGTTATTGCTCCAAAAATTCCGATGCCGAATGCGTTGCAGCTTGTAAATCTCCACCAGCCACGGCAGCAGACAAGAGAAGGGTAACCGCAAGAGCAGACAGACTCGCCCGCACCGCCGGGCACCCAGGGAACACCACCTCAACGAAGATACAGGGCAGTTTTTTTTTATACATATGATCTTTAATATATATATATATATGTATATATATATGACTTCCCATACATGGTTAATGTATGAATGAATGTATGCATGAATTACTCGTTGTCTTTAATACTGAATCCCTGCATCTTGAATACATGATCCGCACGCGGAGCATGTATTAAAAACGGCACTGTACGTATTGGAGAACAGTGCAAGGCATCAGGGTACACCAAAACAACGCGCGAACAACACGGAACCCGACTCCATCCTTCACGGGCGGGGGGGGTCAACCAGGACGCGTTCCGCGAAGTCCCTGCCCGCATCCCACGTGATGAAGATGCGCTACTGGAGGGCCCTCTAGATGGGTCGGACGCGGTGGGGTTGGAGGATCGCGCCGCATCGCCGACGCATCGGACGTACGCCGCCGATGCATGGGCGACGCCGGCGATGCATCGGCCCCGCAAGCGTGGAAAAAACCAGACTCCAAATCGAGACGCGTAGGCGATGCATCGGCGGTGCGGCGCGATCCTCGGAGGCCCATCCGGGAGCCCGACGGGTGGGGCCCAACACGTGGCGACATCGGCCAGGAACGGGCCGCGAGGGTCACTGGCAGGGGCCGCACTCCGCCCTCCGGTGGAGCCGCGTCTTTGACGGACCCTGCGGGCCCTTCGACCGCGGCGGCGGGGCGCGGCGACGGCCAGCGGACGGCAAATGCGCCTTGCAGACCAGGCTCCCCCCACCATGTATTGGTCTATCGTCACTGTTGCAGCGGATCTCTGAACCAGGGGACGCGCCAGGGAGGGGGGGGGCCCAGAGCCGATCTCAGAGTTTTTATGTTACGCCACGTTTTGTCCCCCTACGAACGGGGAAATTGATTTTGTCGATCTTGCTCGCAGGAGGAAGCACCACACCACAAGGTGACGATACAAAGCCTCCAGCATCAGAGGAGGAGGAGGAGGAGGAGGAGGGGGAGGAGGAGGGGGAGGAGGGGGAGGAGGAGGAGGAGGAGGAGGAGGAGGAGGAGGAGGGAGGAGGGAGGGTGGGGGCCTGTAGGGGCGGGGGGGGCGCGGCTGCGGAGGTTCCCAGACCGCGCTGCGCCCACGCAGCCGGGCCGTGTACAGCAAGAAGATCCTCAAGCGCGCAAGAGAATTTGTTTCGCCGCGCACACCCGCAAGGGGTCCCTAGAGGGCAATGTATTCTACATGGGCTTTTAAACCATGTAGGATATCTAATGCATGATCCATTTATGACTAAATGTATGCATGAACTGCATTTTCCCTGCATTTTCATACATGGTCCGCACGCGGAGCATGCATTAAAAACGGCACTGTAGGCCTCGATCCCTGAACACCCGCCAACTCCCAGCGCAGCGGAGACGGCGAGAGAGGGTCGGGGTCGTCGCCCGAAAGGCTCAGCATATGCGAGCGTGGTTCCGTGCCTCGCACAAGGGGGCCGCCCAAACCCCAACGACTATGCCCCCCTGGGGTCCCCTGGCACCAAGCGTCAACGGACTCATTCACGCGCATGCCCCCCACCAAACAGGCGCCGTTGGCCATGTCCAGAACCCAGTATTTAACAGGGGGCATTGCAACCCATATCTCGGATTTTTGTTTTGCGAATGGTAAGCACATTGGAGCCGAACTCGGGGACACACGACGGGTTGATGGGAGCGGCTTTCCTCGATAGCTGTGCGTCCGAATAGCCCCCTGGGGATGCATCTTGAGCGGGGACCTACCGTCCCAGCATTCCTATAGGCTACCACGAAATGTTCCTAGAACCCCAACGTGTCAGAATAACAAAACACTGTTCATCGAACATCAACCCGATGTGTTAACACAAGACGGTCGAAGCCAGAATTGTTCGAAGAACAACTCACCCAGACTACGAAAGGCTCTCATTAAGATTCCCTGGTGGGCCTATAGCCAAAGCCAGGACGCTTCTTGAGTATCTCGGCACCCCCCTCCCCCTCCATTTCTGAAAGGCCACATTCTCCTGGCGGACCCCAGGGGCCAAGGGCGAGACATCCCCTGCGAGCCTGATGCACGCGCCCTGCCGATCCCGGGGCGTGGCGCCTGGCACCAGAGGGGCGCCCATCCTCGATCGGGGTGCGCCCGCATGGCCCCCTGGGAGTGGACCCCGACGTCCCCCCATCTCCGAGCGGCCGCTTTTGACTACCTACCAGACCACCCCAACCCAACCCGAAGACCCGAATTTGACCCGAATTTCGGGTTGGGGGGGGTACGGGCACCATGTGTTTTTTCAATGTTCCCCGACCCCCCCCCACTGGAAATGGAGGGCAAATTGAGGCCTTCGGGTTGGGTTGGGGTGATTTGGTAGGTGGTGATTTCTCCCGGCGGCCATCTCCAGGGGTCAGGAGCGAGACGTCCCCTGCGAGCCTCGTACGTCTCTGTTGCCGAGCCAGCTCGGGCGACACAGCGCAGACGCAAGCGCCCCGCGGTGTCGCCCGATTCCGCCGGGCACCGCGGGGAGCCGCGCCACGCCCCGCGCCACCAGCGCCGCGACTCCGCGGCGCGGCTGCCCCTGGACACGCCGCCTCCGACGCGGGCCTCGCACACGCGCCCACCATACGTTGGAGGGGGAGGAGGAGGAGGAGGAGGAGGAGGAGGAGGAGGAGGAGGAGGAGGAGGAGGAGGTGGTAGGGGGAGGAGGAGGAGGAAGGAGGAGGGAGGAGGAGGAGGAGGAGGAGGAGGAGGAGGAGGAGGAGGAGGAGGAGGAGGAGGAGGAGGAGGAGGAGGAGGCAGGAGGAGGAGGAGGAGGAGGAGGAGGGGGAGGGGGAGGGGGCGAGGAGGAGGGGGAGGGGGAGAGGAGGAGGAGGAGGAGGAGGAGGAGGACGGAGGAGGAGGAGGAGGAGAGGGAGGGAGGAGGAGGAGGAGAAGGAGGGAGGAGGAGGAGGAGGAGGGGGAGGAGGAGGAGGAGGGGGAGGAGGAGGAGGAGGAGGACCCCTCCCTCCAACTTGTGGTGGTGGAGGACAACACGCCCATCAGGGGGTGGAGCCTGGCACCCGAGAGGTGGCGCAAGCACACAGCACACACACACACACACCCGCGCCGCTCACCGCCCCGGGGGGCCGCCCCGCGGGCACTGGGCCAAGACGCCGATGGGGACGCGAGGGGATCACCGCGGAGGGGGGCCAAGACGAAGCCAGGACGAGGAGAACATCGGTTGAGGCTTTGGACGCCCGAAATGGGCACGGAAAACATGGGTACAATGCCCAACAACAAATGATGCCCCGAACCAACAGCGGCCGCTGTTGGGCAGGCGGCCTTCTGTCTCAAATGGACACAGGCCGCGGCGGCGCGGACAGCGAGTCCTGTTCAAAATGAACAGGAACTGCTGTTGGGCAGATTATCCATTCTTTCCGTGCCCATTTCGTTCGTGCCGAAGGAGAAGTCCAGAATCTCTCCGACGTCTGGCGGCTTTGGAGGATGTCTCGGGCGCCGCGGCCTTCTCAGAGCGTTCCAGAAGGGAATGGACCCTCGTCCCGGCCCCGCCCGAGGATCAGAGCTCTCTCAGTGAAGAGGAACGTTAGCGGGGGGGACAGCCCGAGGGGGGAGCATCGGCCTGAAATCGGCGCTGCAGCCGCGACAGATTGGCGATGGACCCCCGACAGCGAATCCGCACGTTCCTGGGCGGGGTGGGCTATGGGGCCCCTGTCGGCCATCAGTGGACGATTTGGGGTCGATGCGTTCCCCCTACCAACGTTGCCCCTGAGGGGCTCCCACGAAGATGTCAGCACTGACCTGCGCTGCGCCCTCCGCAGGGATAACCACGTCACCGCAGGGCCCTTCCTCCTCCCCCTCCTCCTCCTCCTCCTCCTCCTCCTCCTCCTCCTCCTCCTCCTCCTCCTCCTCCTCCTCCTCCCCCTCCTCCCCCTCCTCCTCCACCCAGGTCCACACTGGTTCACCATCAAGACTCCGTCTTCCTCCTCCTCCGCCTCCATACTCCCTCATCCTCCATCTGCATCCCTCCCTCCCTCGTCCCTCTCCTCCTCGCTCCTCCTCCTCCTCCTCCTCCTCTCCTCCGCCCTCTTTCCTCCTGCTCCTCCTCCTCCTGGCTTCCCACCTCCCCTCATCGTCCTCCTACTCCTCCGGCCTCCTCCCTCCTCACACTATCCTTCCCCCTCTGTCTCCTCCCTGTCTCACATCCTCCTCCGTTCCCCGGGCTCCTCCTCCCTCTCCGGCAGCGACGGCGGCGACGGCGACGGCCACGGCCGCGGCGACGACGGCGGCGGCGGCGCACGAGCGGCGGCCGCGTCGACAGCTCGGCGGCGGCCGCGCCGAGCGACGGCGGAGGCGGCGAGGGCGCGAGGGCGGCGGTGCCGGCGAGGCGGCGGCGGCGGCGGAGGCGGCGGCGGAGGCGGCGGCGGCGCCGAGGGCGCGGCGGCGGCGGCGACAGACCGCCTCTAGCGCAAGTGGCGGCACCGGGGGGGGGCCCGCAGAGCGCGGCACACGGCCTCGCGGGCGCCCCAGCCGGTACAGAGCCACTGCACCAGGTGGCCTGGCACGCCCGCGCGCGCGAGGGGCGCCTCGCAGCGCGTCGACGTCGTCTTCCTCGTCGTCGCCGTCGTCGTCGCCGTCGTCGTCGTGGTCGCCGTCGTCGCCGTCGCCGCCGCCGTCGTCGTCGTCGCCGTCGTCGCCGTCGCCGCCGCCGTCGTCGTCGGCGTCGGCGTCGTCGTCGTCGTCGCAGTCTGGGTGCTCCTCGTCGCCACCGCCGCCGCCCCCGTCTTCATTTTAGTCGCCGTCACCGTCATGGTCGTCGTCGTGGTCGTCGTCGTGGACGTCGGCGTCGGGGTCGTCATGCTCCCTGCCGTCGCCGTCGCCCTTCGTCGTGTTCGCCGTCACAGGCCCGCTTCCTCATCGCAAGCCCGATTCGGCCCAAGCCAGCTTCAGCTCACGACCAGCTCATCCACCGAGATGGACTACGGGCCCGTGGATCTGGTAGGGGTCCACATGCGAACCCTACCCGTGGATCTGGCGCGCGGGCGCCAGGCCCCGCGGATCGGGGGAAGCGCCCCCCCCCCACACACGAGGCATGGGGCCTCTGCCCCTCGCCTTGGCCACAGGCCGCGCGCCGAGCCCGTGCCCACACGGGGCCCGCTGCCTGCGAGCGACGCGCCGCCCTCCCGGCCCTCGCTCGCACGGGGAAGGAAAACTGCATACACAGGGCAGTTCTCAACACATGGGATGTTTAAGAATATAGGATGTTCCATACATGATTAATGAACGAATAAATGTATGCATGAACTCATCGTTGCTCTTAAGACTAAATCCCTGCATTTTCCATACATGATCCGCACGCGGAGCATGTATCAAAAACGGCACTGTAGACAGAGGCTGCCGAAGGTCCGCGCTGGACCTCTGGGATCGACGCTGGACCTCCCTCCCTGGCGCGCAGGAGCGCGCCAGCGGCGGCAACCGGAGGCGCCGCAAGGGGCGCCCGGCGCCGATCCAAGGACTCCGCGCGGAGCTCTGAGAGTGTAGTGCTTGTGCTGTTGCTTCTTCCTCGTAGGTGGGACTGGTGCTGCCCTCACCATGCAGCAGGTGCGTGTCGTGTCGACTCCCGCGCTCGTTTCTGGCACCGCGTGGCTCGTTCCGCCTTGAAACGATCGACAGAGCTTCGATCGCCCGATCGATCCTGTGGGCCGATTCTGGGCCACTGGCGGCGTTCCACCTTGAACGTCCTCGGCGGGGTGCGCAAGGCCTAGCCAAGGGGCGGAGCCGCCGCCGGTCGACACGACGCGAACCTGCCGTACCCCTCCCCTCCCCGATCCCTCCTCCCGCTCCCCCTCCCCCTCGAGTGTTTAAGCCAAAAAAACACCTAACCCTTTAAAACAAAACACTAAATTCCAAAGGCCGAACACGTTAGGGATTTGGGCTCTTCTCTGCCGGCGCATCGAACCAGACCGCCCAGATGTGTTATCCCTAGCGCAGAGACGGGGACATCGGTGGGGCCACGCCTTCACTGCGTTTACCAACCTCGAACGTATCCCTATCCCTAAGATTGACCCGCCAAAAGGCGATGACAATCTTAGGGATTCGAAAATAAGGGAATCCATCAGATTGGCATCGTGATGAGGAGGTGCCCAGCATAGGGATAGGGATGTGTTCCAGGCTGGTAATGTGTTGGTAGCGTTCACGGTTCTTCGATTCTCGAGGAACGAGCCCGAGCCCCGCAGACGGCACGGCACCCCGGTGTCCAGCCCTCGCCCCCCGCCCAGCCGCGGCGGAGCTCGGCTTGGCCCGCGTGGGCCCGCCAGCACCCGCCGCGGGACTGGGGAGGGGGGAGGAGGAGTAGGAGGAGGAGGAGGAGAAGGAGGAAGAGGAGGGGGGAGGAGGATGAGGAGGAGGAGGAGGAGGAGGAGGAGGAGGAGGAGGAGGAAGAAGGGAGGAGGAGTAGGAGGAGGAGGAGGAGGAGGAGGAGGAGGAGGAGGAGAGGGAGGAGGAGGAGGAGGAAGAGGAGGAGGGCGGAGGAGAGAGAGGAGGAAGAGCGAGGAGGAGCGAGGAGCGAGGAGGAGTGAGAGGAGTGAGGAGTGAGGAGGAGGAGGAGGAGGAGGAGGAGGAGGAGAGAGGAGACGAGGAGGGGGAGGAGGGCAAGCGAAGGCGAAGCGAAGCAAAGCGAAGCGAACATACTTGAGTCGTGCGTGCTCTTCGGGGGAGCTCGCCCGTGCCTATCGGGGCACGCGTTGGCACCCGCGGGCGGCCATGAGCCGCGCCAGCGCCGCGCCAGCAGCCCAGACGAAGGGCGGCGGAAGGGGACGGCATGCGGGGAAGCAGCACCTTCCTGCCTTCCTCGCTGCACGTGCCTCACTCACTGCCATCCCTGCTTCGCTGTTCCTTCCAGCCTCGATGCTCCTCCAGCTTCCCCCCCCCCCTTCCTCCCACGAGCAGCGAGCACATCCTTGGGTGGCAACTCATGGGAGCCTCCCGTACCATATTGTTGGCTCTGGCGAGTCGACGCTACGTCGACGCTGAATCGACGCTGATCGGCCCTAAATCGACTGGTCGACGCTGAATCGATGCTAAATCGACGCTAGATCGGCGCTGCCTCATCGACTCCCAGACGCGAACCGACGCCAGTCAACGCTAAAGACGCAATAAGAGGGCATGCCAGGCTCCCATGCGTTGCTACCAAAACGTCCATATCCCCAAGATGTTTCAGGGGGTACCAGGGACCCCCCCCAGGACCCTCCCCTCGGAACCCTCCCCGGACCCCCCCCCGGGACCGCTCCAGTCACCCCCCCAGAGGGCACGTCAGCTCCAAAAAGCGTCCCCGACGACACCACGAGCGCCCTCCCTCCCAAACAGCGTCCCCGACGACTCCAGGATCGCCGAATCCGGAGCCCCCCAGATCGGCGGCACTGGCCGGAGGCCATTACAATAAGAGGGCACGCCAGGCTCCCATCGGGTCGGGCGAAAGGGGGGGATAGCAAAGGGGGGGTTTGAGAATCAGCTCACGTAGCTGATTTTCCCGGCGCCTCCCGGTGCCGGAGGCGGCTACGTATCGAGGAATGGGCCTCTCGGTGAGGCCGAAACCAGCTGCATGCAGCGAATTTCGTAACCCCCCCCTTTCCCAATCCCCCCCTTTCGCCCGGCCCGATCCCACGAGTTGCCACGGCAACGTCCGTATCCACGCGTCGGCGGCCGGGAGCGCCGGCCGCGACGCCCTCCCGCAGCGGCGGCGGCGGCTGGCCCCCCCGCCTGGGAGCGTGTTGCGCGGCTCCCCCGCCGCGAGCCTGCCGCGGAGGCGGGGAGGATGGAGAAGGAGAGGGGGGAGAGCGAGGGAGGAGGGGAGGAAGAAGGGAGGGGGAAGAGAAGGCGGGAGGAGGGAGGAGGGAAGGGAGGAGGGGGACGGTGGGTGATGGAGGGGCTGACACAGGAGGGAGGGCGGAGGATGGAAGGATGGAGGGAGGGCGGGACTGGAGGGAGGAGGGAGAGGAGAGAAGAGGGACCCAACTATTAAAGAACTCCTCTCCCTCCTCCTCCTCCTCCCCCTCCCCATGCTTCTCCTCCTCCTGCTACTCCTCTTCCTTCTGCTCCCCCGCCCCTCATGCTCCTCCTCGAAGTCTGAGGCGTTACTCCGACGAAAGCCGTGGAAGCCGTCCAAAAACCTCTGGCGACCTCCGAAAATACGAGCACCGATCCTCCTCCCTCGCAGCTGCTGCGGGTCAGGTCCACCACAGGCCCCCCGCTGACGCTTTGGGAGTTCTGGCCCGTCCCGCCCAACACGCAGGGAGAAGAAAAAACATCCCCTCCCGCTCCCCCTCTCCCCTACCCCTGCCCCTCCCCCACCTCCCCCTCCCTCCTCCTCTCATCCTCCTCCGACTCCCACTCCTCCCCACTCCCACCTTCTCCTCCTCCTCTTCCTCCTCCTCCTCCTCCTCCTCCTCCTCCTCCTCCTCCTCGTCCTCCTCGTCCTCCTCCTCCTCCTCCTCCTTCTCGACCTCCTCACTCCTCACTCCTCACTCCTCACTCCTCACTCCTCACTCCTCACTCCTTCCTCCTCACTCCTCACTCCTCACTCATCACTCCCCCCTCCTCACTCCTCACGAATCACTCCTCAGTCCTCACTCCTCACTCTTCACCCCTCACCAATCACTCCTCAAACCTCACTCCTCACTCCTCACTCCTCAGCCCCGACGTCTCACTCCTTACTCCTCATTCCTCACTCCTCACTCATCACTTATCACTCCTCACTCCTCACTCTTCACTCCTCCTGCCTCCTTCCTCCCTCCTCCCTCCTCCTCCTCCTTCTCCTCCTCCTCACCCTCTCTCCTCCCTCCTCCCTAGTTCCTTACTCCTCCCTCATCCTTCCTCCTTCCTCCTGGTCGTGGTATGATTGTTGTTAGCATGCCTCGTCGTTGCCATTCGCATGTTAGTATTATGTTGCTACTTTTGTATTATTATACGATCAGTACTCTTAGCATCATGCGTTGTAGTAGTAGTAGTAGTAGTAGTAGTAGTAGTAGTAGTAGTAGTAGAAGAAGAAGAAGAAGCAGCATGAGTAGTAGTAGTAGTAGTAGTAGTAGTAGTAGTAGTAGTAGTAGTAGCAGGAGTAGTGGCGGTCGCCGTCATAGTAGTAGTAGTAGTCGTAGTAGTAGTAGTAGTAGTAGTAGTAGTAGTAGTAGTAGTAGTAGTAGTAGTAGTAGTAGTAGTAGTAGTAGTAGTAGTAGTAGTAGTAGTAGTATAGTAGTAGTACTAATATTCGAGCCGTAGCCGTAGCCGTAGTACGAGTAGTAGGAATTAGTGGTAGTAGTAGTAGTAGTCGTAGGAGGCAGTAGT